TGCCACAGATTTTTTGTTTATTTTAAAAAAATAACCCACCCTTCAAGTGAAGCAATCAACTGTTTATTTATTAGGTTGAGATTTAAGCACAACAATCACAATTGAAATTCCTTTTTTTTTACCCCCTCTAATTATAAAGAAATTTGATATTCTCTATTGTTTTTATATCGGATGGTTTTCTTACGAAGACATCCATCACTTAATGTATTGACACATGTCTAAAGTGTATTTATTGTGTGACATGTGTTAATACACTGTTTGTGAATAAGTGTGGATAACTCCATAAGTGCGTGTCATCTGATGGCTCCATTGCAAAATTATTTGTCCTACATTAATATGTACTATATGTTCAAGCATCCATTTTACAAACTTCTTTGTTATTTGTGAATTTTCATTGCATGCTTGCATGTAAGTTTTTTAACCTTTCATCAGAATATCAGATCACAACTCAAATCTAACTGAACCATATTATTCTCAATATGATTAATATAATTAAATAATATAATCAATTATTTTTACACTTCACGTCAATTTTAATTTATTATTCATCTACTTACGTAATTCTAATTACGCATATCTTCCAATCAACTTTAATTATTTTATTACAAATTTTAAATCTCACTCAATTCTAATCCAACTAACTTTTTCACAATTAACTATGTTTAACCAACAAATCAAATAATAAAAAAACTTACATCTACTCAAACCCTCAATATATCATTTCATCATTTTCATAGTATTACATATTTACTTACATTCATTTAATAATAAAACTCATTTGTGGGTTCCATTTTTCTCAACTTACCAAGACATTTTTTAGTGCTTAAACATATTAACAAGCGCCTACATCAATTAAAAGCAACGTAAGCATTATAATACTTATATTAACAGTGTCGGTGCCTTTATAGATCATGATAATGTGTAGTGAAATATCAGTAGTTATGCGGCAATTATTATTATTATTATTATTATTATTATTATTATTATTATTATTATTATTATTATTATTATTATTATTATTATTATTATTTGAACGATAGATAATTTAATAACCACAGCAAACTGGTTGGCCATGCCAAAATTTTGCTAGAATTAATATTGTTCTGAAAATCGAACTGGTAAAGCTACTGGTTCAATGGTTCACTGGTCAAACCGGTTTAATTAATATATAATATTTTATATATTTTATATGTATAATATGTAATTATATATATTTTCTATCATTAATTTTATGAATTTTATAGTGTATGACATTTCTCTAAATAATAATTCAATAATAAATAAAACTGACAATGTTTTATTTTATTTTCTATATTTAAATTTTTATATATATTTAAGTTACAAAATAGAGAGAATATAAACAACCATATTTTCATTTTTAACCACATTTTAAAATTTTTATTTTTTATTTAAAAAAAATAATGTACACTAATTTGCTTATCTCTTTTTTAATAATTTAAAATAGACATAGGCACATAGCCCAATAGATAGTCCAATTTCAAAAATAGTAGTATTTTTTAAGAGTACAATATTGCTTATAAGGCCTAATATTGACCCAATAATTTTAGCAAGTGAACATATCCCACAATGGAAACACAAATAAAAAAGGTGTGCTATTTAAATCACTTCACAATCAACTAATTTCAAATTCAAAATCTTGAACCGTTGAACTAGTCGAACCAGTCCGATTCTGGTTCAACCAATTTTGGTTCGGTTCGGGCGGTTTAATGGTTCAAACCGGACCGGAATGAAGGCCGGTTCCCGGTCCAACCGATTGAACCGGCCGGTCCGGTCTGGTTTTCATAACAATTAATTATATATGTCTGTGGTAGCAGTTTCAATTTTCAGTAAACATCAATTTAATTCATAATGTAGATTCATTTTAATCATAAATAGATAAAAAAAAGCTATATATATATATATATATATATATATATATATATAGTTAGTGAAGTTTCAATAAATTTTATTCAGTCAACAATTAATAAAAATATGATTTTCATGTAATAAAAATTTTTGTAACCGCCATTCAAATGACGGTTACACAAGTAAAATCTTCTTATTATTAACTTTTTATTATGTATCAACTTTACAAGATTTTAAATTTTCTGAATATACAATATTAAATTATTTTACAACTAATATTCATATTTTGTAATATAATTATATAATAACAAAAAAAAAAAAATGATTGTATGGAAGTTAAATAATTTATATTTATATCATACATTTACATATAGTCAAAATTTTAAAATGTAATACACATTTTATCTAATTTAAATTTTTAAATATCATATAAGTACATATAATGTATAATTTTTTGTTTCCCTGTGTGCATATACATACGATCGAATACTAGTATGTGTAAAAGGCGCATAAACGTGCTTCAAACCTTAAAACAAATGTTAAAGTTTGCATAAAATTATAGGATACTTTTATTTATAAAATACATCAAATAAACACAAACATATATTGTTTCTTTTTTTTTTTTAATAAAAATAATGAACATAAGAAACTGACCAAAACACCGGTAAAAATATGTCTAATTTGAGTCAAAATACCCCTTAAAATGAATTATACATGGTCAACAATATAATTTTCCGCGAAATATACCTATATTGGATTATATTATAATAAGATAAAATCGTTACATATCATTTTCATGTAGTCTGAAGAATTAAATTATAATCATAATTTTTGCGTGTCAAATTTTTTAAATTGGGAGTTTCCACGAATCTGCCTTCGAATCCTGTATTGGTCCAACACTCAGGCATTTTTTTTTTTTTTTTTCTTTTTAACTCAAATATCATATATTAAAAAATAATATTTCAACCAAAAAGGGTTGAGTAAGCAGTTTGATCCCGTTTAAACAAAGCCTGTCTTTGTGGATACAAAAATTCTTTGTTGGAAAATTCACCCACCACTGCCGGGTGTACAACTCGGATTAGTCGGAATATAACTCCAAATATCGTGGCCCGTGGCGGAGCTACACCTTGTGGCTGGGGTCAGCTGACCCCTATGGATTTCAAAATTTTTAGTATAAAATACTGTTCAAACACTGTTTACTAGGTTAATGACCTCGCTAAAAAATATTGCCGACCCCGGTGAAATTTGAGGCTGACTTCGCCCTGATCGTGGCGGGCTACAAAAAAAAATTATTTCACATTATAAGCATACGTCTCGATTAAAAAGGCTATAATAGAATTTGCCATATTTTTATTGCCACAATTATCCTTGTCTCTTTCATCAGCATTTTCTTTATATTATTATTTCACCTTTTATCACTTTATGTGGACAGCATGATCATTGTTGACGACTCAACTGTTAATATCAGGGGTAAAATGGTAAAAGAAAATAAACAAGGAAGAATATGAGAAATATTCAGAGCATATCCATGTGACGTGGAAATTACGTGTAATTTGTTTTTTTTTTAAGGGAAAAAAAACTAAAACTTGCGTGTAGTTTTATTACTCGTCTTCTCATTTTTTTTTCTATTAAAAAGTCAGTCAAACTACAAAATGATACCCTATCTTCCAATCATAGCGGGGTCTCTAGATTGGTACGTTGTTTATATGTATTTATACTACTAGTTGGTTCACCGGCACAGTCGGCGTATATCCAGTCGTTAAATTTAGTCTTTTATGAGTAAAAAGTTTGTCTAACATTTAAATCATTATTTTCATTGTCTTAAATTTACCATTGACATGTGACCAAAAAAAAAAAAAAAAAAAAAAAAAAAAAAAAACAAAAAAAAAAAGAGCACACAATCGTTATGAATCAGGTTTGAATTTTACCGCAAAAATAAATAAATAAATAAATAAAATACCAAACATGTGATAATTTATAAGTAATTTTACATTTCATGTCCCTAACTTCCTTCATAAAATATGATAAGGTTTTAAAAACTAAAATTAGGACGTAAATTAAAAAAAAAAAAAAAAAAACTAAACA